GGATACAGATGTTGGTCAACCTGAGTTCAGTCCTCCTGGTTTTTTATCTCTAACTGTAGTAGATGAAGTCACTCCAGGCAATTGCTTATTTTCTGCACTTATTGTGAATAATTTGCTCTGGAATTTAAAAGGATTGTTAATCATGTATTCATGTTAGATGAGCGGTTTTGTTCGGTTTGATTGCTAATTGTGTTTCCTTTTCTTTTTTGGTTAAAATTAGATTTGACAATCCCGCATCTGAAGACACCGAAGAGGTATGAACAGTTTCTGCCTTGTTATGGTTTTGAACTTGTTAGAAGCGGTTATAGTGCTTACCATGTAGTAGATGACAATTATATAGGACAGTATACTTGTTATTTGAGACTGCAGGAATATGAATGTTCATGGGCTGAATATGAGCAACGTTACTTTGTTTTTTGCTAGTTTCAAGCTGAGAAAAGGGTTTGTCATATTCTTTACCATAAAGATTTCAATTTAGCTCATCAGTGTTGTAGCAGATTTTGGTTCTTTATATAGTATTTGGAATAGTAGTGTAGAAGCTTGAGAAAATTTGAGGAATTTAGGAGCAATACAATTGGTGTGAAAATTAGGACTCACTAAGGGTTCAGTGAAGACTTTAGTTGCTCTATAGTCAAAGCTGTATGCATTCGTTTTAGATCACAAAGTATCAACTAGACTTGGAGTTAAAATTATAATTACAAAGCTGGAAAGGTTCTGTTCACGAAATTTGAAATGGGAAGTAGCTGCAACAACTACGTATCTGTTATCAACATTCAATGTAACTAGGATTAGTTAGCCTGATTTCAGTCCTCCTGGTTTTGTCTCTCTCTCTCTCTCTCTCTCTCTCTCCCCCCCCCCTACTGCCATGCATGGATTTTGTGATGCTAGGTCTGATGTAATGTACGAAAGGAATCTTGGAATCTGATGATTTATCATTTGTTCCTTTTTCTCAGATGTCTTTTCTTTGGTGACGTTTCTTCAAAGACAAATCCTACAACGTACTTGAATTCTATATTCGCTTTATATGATTATTATAAGAAGGAATACTGCTTGTTTAACCAGAGTGATAGACCTACCAAGAAGATCGGATTGCCTCTTGTTGTGAATACACCTGGCTGGGTGAAAGGTATGCTCTTTTACTTGGCCAATTACTCCTCTCTTTTAATTGTCATTGAACAAGTTCTCCCAATCTGTAGTTTTGTTTGCTTGTTTGTTTGTCTTTCACTTGGTCAATTGCCCCCTTCTTTGGTTCTTTCTGTAGATTATATTATGAACTAAGATTTGCGCAAGTTATACCCTAGCCATGTACCGTTTGAGGCAAGGGCCAAGTGGCTATTTTATGAATCTTCTTTTGATGATTATCGCCTGGTTGGATATGAATATTATATATATGATTTTCTTATTCCTCTTGTGTACTAGGTGTTGGTTATGATATATTGGTGGATATGTTGAAGTATATTGCCCCTACCCATGTTGTTAAAATAAACATATCGGCCGAGAGTAAGAATCTACCAAGTGGGGTATTCTGGTTAGATGAGGATCATGACGCTATGCTCAAGCTGATAGAGATCAATTCAGCTCGTCAGGACTCTTTCAATAGATCGTAAGTTCTTAGCTTCTTCAAGAATATCTGGAAACTTTTATTTTGGATGCAGCTTGTTTGTACTTTTTTTTTAATTGCTTTTCCACCATTCCAATACATTGATTAATTTTAATTCCATTATCATTATTATTATTTTTTAATTCGAGAATCATTTATAGATTGATTAATTTTACTTTCATTATTATTATATCTAAATTCCGCATTAGTTTCAGACCAAGTCCCAAATCTCTTTAGTATGTTCCATAACGTATTTGTAGGAGGTGATCACTTGTAGTTAAGCTTAGAAGAATTCCTTTTTTATACAAGATTATTGAATCAAGTTATCAAGTGTCAGTCATTTGCATAAATTATTTTGCTTCTTAAGTAGCATATGCTGGCTAGAAGACATGGGATTGTATGGATGTACTGGACGTCTCCGTGACATATTAGCTTTGTTGTGCTGCAGGATTCTAGTACAAAAGGATGCACACCTGTTGCGTGATGTACGAATAATGGCTTATTTCAGGCAGTGCTTTTCAAGTAGCCTGAACATTACTACAATCAAAGAACTTGCTAATGCTTTGGCCTCTCAACCTCCTTATGAAGTTCCAATATCTAGCATTAAGATTAGACATCTCCATTGTCAGGTCAGTTCTAAGTTCTGACTGTTGATCTGCTCACTGCAGGTTTTAGAAATTTTAAAATCTTGGTTTCTTTTCCATGTAGTAGTGAATTTTGCATTTATACCTGTTTTCTGTAAGGTTGTTTAGAACATTTAAGAGAGAGCCTTACTGGTGATTACTTTTATACCTCAAATCCTTGATTTTTGTATCAACAACCAAGGGAATTACTGTTAATTGTTATTATTATTTTCAATTAAGGCTTGTAATAATTAGTTCTTTTATGCTAGGTCCCAGGTGCTGAGATCTTCTACAGTTTGAACGCAACCATTGTTGGGTTGGCAGTTAGCTCTCAAGGATCAAAGGATTTACCTTGGTGTGTTGGTCTTGGTAGGTTTCTTTGTTTTGCAACATTTTGCCAATTATATTCATCTCATATATAGCTGTGCTGTGGTTTTAATTTCGAGTTTGCCGAAAAATTAAGAAACTTGGTTTAGTGGTGGCAGTAAAGTCCATCCTGTAGGTTTTTATGTTTATGTTACTAGAGATCCAGGTTTTTATTGCTAGTGCAATGCGGATACATAGATAGGTCAAAGCAATCAATGTGAACTAAGGTTCTTATGCATTTCAGTTGATGCCTTTTTTAATTAGGAATTGTGAGAGGCATTGACACTTTCAAAGGCTTGCTATATGTGATAACACCGGTTCCAAGAGGCACTCTGGAGAAGGTCGATCTATTTCTGCAAGGTTATATCCAAATTCCTACGGTGTTGTTGCAGGTAACTGAACCCCTCCCATGTAATAGATGTTTTAGACCAATTGTTTGCTTCTTCGTAGTCTCTCACGTGCATTAAAATTTGGATATTTTCCCTTTTCCCAGTACAATATGATCTTATAGTGGGATGAAAGGTTCTTGTTGCATGGATAGTCAATCAATCAGTTTCCCGCTATTAGAGGGGATGCTATGAGCATAGGAAAACACCGACTGGCATGTATCATAGCCTTCGCAGAGTATCACTGGGACAATATCACCATATTGATTAGCATCTTGTTAGCGAAGTTTAAATGTTATGGGCATGTCTTCGGTAGTATACACATAAGCACTCACAGTCTCTCACACACTGAACAAAATCAGAATCCTTTCGTTGGCTAGCTACATTTTGCTTTATTGGAAATCTAATGAAAAACTTGATTTCCGATATTATCTGAACCATAAGAGACTCAATGACCTTCTAACTTCCTTGACCTGCATTCATATCTCCAAATGAAAGGTATCCCTTACATTAAATGAAACAGAAGAACTGGCGTAAGGCCTCACCTAACACATATATCTTCTATCTCATCCAATCTTATTGAAGTGCTAATTCTGTTAAAATCTTCGGAGGAGCAAGATTCATAAAAGTTGATCTGTTCCTCTTGTTGAATCAACCGAATTTTCAGGTCCAGGGATGCATATCGCCTTATATGTCTGCGAATGTTCTGTCTACAAGCTAAGTTCGTCCACAGTTCACAGTTGATTGGGGTTATAACAATTAAGCGAAGTAGTTGCCCACTGTGCAAGCGCCGTCAAGCAACAGAGCAGCTTCCTGTATTATGTAAATTCCAAATTGATGGTTACACAATTAAACAAATGTATAACAAACTTAAAAATATCTGTTGAAACTCTTACACTTACCTAAAAACATTCTCATTATCGATACTTGACTTGCCCCCTTTATGAAGTAATGTTGTTGCTGTGAGTTTCTGAACTGCAATTTCAAATTTACTGTCGTTATACTATTCTGTACAGTTCGGTTAGCAAATTTCCGGGCTGTACAGAAAGGCAACGTAAATGCCGAATCGGTCGGTTGAAGTTTCATCATCGACATTCTACATTTCTACTGGAGTGAGTAGCATGGCTGCATTGTATAGAACCCACGTTTCGTAGATGACAAATCTATAAGCAATCTGCAGTAGGGTGTGAATGAATGTATGTCTGATCTCTAATGTTTTGGTGGAGCTATGTTTGGAGTAGAAGCTTCATATGGGAATTTAACATGTTTAATCTAGTAGTTCTGATCCCTAATTTTTCCCGTTAATGCGAAGACAATAACGAATCTGGCTATAATACTTGCATGTTTATATTATTTCCATATTATTCTTAATTTCGAGGCTAAATTGCGTTGGTAGTCTACGTATGAGAAACTTAAAAGACATATAACATTGTATTATTGGTCTGAGATGCCACATCGAACATTTTGAAATTCGAGAAATGGCCCAAGGCTTTAGGATAGACTTAACATCCCTAACACCCCAAGATTTCTTTCTGGAACACAGAGCATTCTAAGTTGGACAAATCAGTGGCTCAAAACTCTCTTCCCAGAAAATGCTGACGTTTAAGGCAAATCCAGTTGGTTGGATAGTGCATGATAGGCCGTTATTTCAGGTACACGCTAAGCCTAAGAACCGCCATTTTTTGTCAAATCCAAATTTTCTTGTATTTTTCTATGTATAGGCAGCAAAATTCCACCACCCAAAATTTAAAACCTTGATTTGGAAAACCTAGCCCTCTCCTTCTTTTAGACACTTTACACAGAGAGAGAGAGAGAGAGAGAGGTCATGATCTCGGAACGCTTTCGTGCTCCGCCAAGGTCATGATCTTCCAGCTCGCCACCGCCCAATAAGCACTTCTGAGAAGAAGCACTTTTGACACCATTTTCGCATTCTCCTTCTAGCTTCCGAACGAATTCAGATAGGGACTAGGCCAGCATTTGTTTGGTTTTATGGTTGTTTTCGTGTTTGAAGAGCGCGAAAGCAACATGACAAAGCGATCTTTTTCTCGTTATGTTGAGCAAGAGCTGGGGAGGCTGCCACATTTCATGGTCTACGCTTTGCTCGAATGGACGCTGATCATTCTGCTCTTCGTTGACGGGTTCCTTGCGTTTGCTGCCAATGAATTCGCCAAGTTCTTCGAGCTGCAAATCCCCTGCTGGCTCTGCACCAGAATCGATCACATTCTCGTACATAGAGACCAAGATTTCTATTACAATGACTCCATTTGTGAGGCTCATAGGAAAGATGTTTCGTATCTTGCTTATTGCCACAACCACAAGAAACTGTCTGATATACGAAAAATGTGCGAGGCGTGCCTGCTTTCGTTTGCTACGGAGAAAGAATCTGACTGCGATACGTACAAGTCCTTAGTTGGGATCTTGCACAAGGATCTTGAGTGCTTCGTCGAGGATGATCACCACCAAATTCAGCTGAGTGTGCCTGCGGCAAGGACGTGGGAGGAGGGGGCGGGGCAGGTTGAGAAGAGCAACAGCATTGTTTGCATTTCGTGTTCGTGTTGTGGCGTGCCATTGAAGATGAGCTCCACTTCCAACTCCTACCCGAAGGGGAAAAATGACAGCGTATTAGCACAAGCTCCCGCGCCTTCTCCACGAGCACCCTTGAGAAGTGATGATCGCAGCTTGGACTTGCCCCACATTCGGTACACTGAACTCAAACTCATGTCGGACAATGAGTCCGAGCTTCCAGAGGACGAGTACGAATCACAACCACCGAATCGTGTCTCTCAGTGTGAGTTAAACGTAAAAACTTGACATACATTATCTGCTCACGTCCTTGTATATTTATTTATACGACTTCATTCTCTTTTGATTTATTCAGTCGAAAGGCCATATACAAGCATAGCCGTGCGAAAATTACTTCCCAAACTTGTTTAAGTCTCGTTTTTTTCTTATTTCTTTTTTTTTTTTTCGGGTTTTCACAACCATGAACTGATTCAGAGGATGGAATTTGTGCAGCAGTCAAGGAAGATCCCAAGGCTGCAACGGTGCCTTTGTTGACAGAAGGTGAAGATTTAGCTGATGATGCAAACAGGACTCCTCTTTTTGGTAAAGGAAACAGGTTTTTCGGAATCCCACTTACAGATTCAGCTACAAACAGTCCTAGGGTGGCAATGAGGATTTCAAGGAAATCGCCACTTGAAAAAACCGGCGAGTATGCCTTGGAATCTGTCGAGGGAAGCACTTCAAATGAGGCAGAGTGTGATTCCATTTTGCACCGGTTGAAGAGGCAGGTCCGGTTAGATAGGAAGTCGCTGATGGCATTGTACATGGAGCTAGACGAAGAAAGAAGCGCTTCGGCTGTGGCAGCGAACAATGCAATGGCTATGATCACCCGGCTACAAGCAGAGAAGGCTGCTGTTCAGATGGAGGCCTTGCAGTATCAAAGAATGATGGAGGAACAGGCGGAGTACGATCAAGAAGCACTGGAAGCGACGTATGATCTGCTTGCCAAGAGAGAGGAGGAGCTCAGACTTGTAGAAGCTGAAGTAGAGGCGTATAGAGAAAAATACGGATTGCTGAAGGAATTCGCTTACGAATCTGGTGATGAGGTCAGAGGGAAAAATGACTGCGGCAGTTCTCCAGGCGAGCCTAATGGCGAAAACACACAAAATGATCAATCAAAGGAGGAGAACTTAGAGGGAGCCCTTGCTGAATCTTTGAAGCCTCTGAAAGGGGAGAAAACCTACCTCCTGGGTCGGATGAAGAAACTCGATAAGAAAACCAACTCCGCTAAGGGGTTCTACTCTTCGCAGGGCCCTGACGGTCTGAATCATACGGATGATGAGATAGGTAACATATTCAAACATACACACATGAGGTCACGCGTACACATTACATACGTATTTATGTACACGCACACGCTAACACGCGCAGAAGTACCATACGAGCATGTCATCTCTTTTGTATTTCAAACAAATGACTGATTTATGCTTCGAATATGGCAGGAAATGGAAGCAAAGCTGCTCTAACAAGGCAATTGTCGTTGTTGTCTCATCTTAGTGAAAGGGTGAAGGCCCTTGAATCAGACACAGGATTCCTAGAGCATGCAGCTAAGACACTTGAGAAACATAGCGAAGGAACAAAACTATTGACAGAGATAACACAAAACTTACAGAAGCTTCGGCATCTCGTCATGATGCCCCCGGAGGAAAACAGTGGGTTGCCGTAAATATTTCGTCGTCCAAATAGTCCCGAACTTCCGATGGTAAAATTGCTTATAATCCTCTTACCAATTCTACTACTTCTACATGGTTTACAGGATATCATTTTTCCCTTTGATTAGATAGCTTGAAATTTCAACTCATTTGTAATTGTTTTGCGTTTTACAAGGATGCAAGGATATTGTTGGCCATGCCAGAGAAGGTAGAAAAGGTGAGGCCAAAACTTCACAGCTGAGGAGCAAACCCCGCCGCGGACTACCAGGCGAGCCTCCGCAGACGGATTGCTCGAAGTATACTTAGTTTCTTGTCCACCAGAGACTCAGAGAGTTTTTCTCTTACACTAGAGTTGTTGCTTCATGCATGGATCCCAAAGCATATGAATTTTCTGTGCTCGTATTCTCTTTCTAAATAGAGTTTTTCTTTCCCCATGGAGGTTTCCCCTCCGTAAATCGATTATTTTTCTCTCAGCTGCGTCAGTCTCCCGACAAGTAAATCGAAGAAGCACTTGGATAACCACCTAATTCGACAGCTTAAGAACATAAGTGAATATGGAAACACTCTTTCCGTTCACCCGAAACTGAAAGCATCTCATAAAGAATATGTTATGGCTGTTTCCGTCATTCGTTTCAACTCCTTTGGTACATGACACAAGTCTTACTGAAATAATCCTATAACTCACATGAATTAAGCAGCAGAACAACTTTAACCAAAAGAATGATATGTTTTCTTTCCGTCTCTTTCTCAACTAAACATCAAAACTCATCTTCTTTGTAAGACAAATCTACAAAAAGCAACACGACACGAGAAGATTGCTAATAGGCGGTAAGCTATGAGGATTACAAAAAATAATCTGGAGTTCTGCGTGTTGTATCAGGTTCGACCTGACGCGGTGCTGGGTCAAACTGAAGGAAATTCTGGTCCATATTCTCTCCAATCTCAAGAATTGCAGCCATATTTCCACAGCGATAGCAGTAATTTGGAGCACTAAACACCGTCACAACGTTCTTTTCCTAAAATAGTTAAACAAAATTCAGAACATAACTCTGAAAGCATAAATTTGATACGAGACTTCTGCTTCTTATGCACTAACCTGGCACCAATTGTAACCCTCCATAACAAGCTGGTGAGCTCTAGAAATAAGACTTAGCCCATTAGTGTGGTTAAACTGGGCTGCTATATCTTGTCCAAATGTATACCCTGCACCCCGAGGAGATATTCCCCACCCACATCGATCATCCGGGTCAGACCACAAGAGATCACACATTGGACCCTCGTGAGGAACCTGCTCCATTCAGACGAGGGAAGAATAGAATTACCACATATCTTCTCAACATATACCATGAAATAAGAATGCCACACCAGTATACAAGAGATGCCTATGCCAGCAGTAGGTACATTAATATCTTGAAAAATGTCTCACATGGGAGACTTCAATACAAGCCTAGAGTAATTCAAGGGAAGTTTAGTAGGCGATTTCTCTCCACAATAATAGTGTTCAAGGCACTTAATATTGCATGACTCACAGACAAGTGAGTCCAATATGGGAAAATCAGGACCACTCAAGTCTTATTTCATAAACAAGTTAACAGGCAAGCAGATCACAACAACCAAAGTGACCTAGAACATGCAGATCAAAAACAGGAATGGGGCAATTTTTCCCTTCAAGAAATTTTTTGAGAGAATATGAATATGAAATTGGATTTTAATCAAGTGGAAACCTTAGTGTACCTCTTGTATCCGGTCCAGAGCACGAATATTGTCTAATGTATCTAACGAAGGAGAGAGTCCGCCGTGTAAGCAAAAGATCTAGGAGGAGGAAACAACGCTTGTTAAACGAGATAATGGGGATAACAAGTTAAGATAACGATGTAGCACATAAGAGCTTCAAAATTCAAACCTGACTTTCAATCAAGGCTGTGAGCGGCAGATAATCAAAAAGGTCAGTGAAAAACTTCCAGACATTAGCATTTCCATATTTCCTCAAGCACTCATCATAGAAACCATACCTGAAACGGCAACAGTGTATTGATATAAATAAGGACTTGACGCTTAAGAATCACTATTAAAAACACTTGAAGCAAATAAAAGTTATCTACAACATATAAATGGCTTCTTTTACGTGACTAATCGAAACCTCCTTTGAATCAGTGGGAAAATTCCACAACTTTGTTATCACTATCAATACTTGTAAGGTTGCACCTTAGGAGTTTGGAATGAAAACATTTGAGAAGAATGTCTTACACTTGAGTTATTTGCCGACTCTCGTGATTTCCTCTAAGAATTGTAATTCTATCTCTGTAACGTACTTTCAGGGCCACTAGAAGCGTGACAGTCTCCACAGAGTAGTATCCTCGATCTGCATAAGAAAAAGGAAACAATACAATTACTGAAAAAAGGTTGCACAGGCAAATTCCGGTCAAACAAAATGATTTAACAGTCTAAACTAGTGGAACATTAAGTTACATCTCTTGTCATACTAGAAGGAAGGTGTTGTCCTATTTGCAACTACATCGTCAGAGAGCAAATGGCTTTCAATTACAGGTTATATGCAAACATGTCTAATTATCGTCTTCATCAACCATAAAAAATTGATAGCATGCTCATTGCTTACACTACTCATAAATTCCGAAAAAACAAAGATACAAGGAAATGAGAAAGAGCAAAAACTATGAACATAATATAGAAAATGGTGTGCTCAGTCAAATGATCCAAATCTAAGTTTTAGGCTTGCATTGTAAAAATATATGAAAGTCACTGGGTTAGACAGCGGAACTGGAAAAGACATTAAATTTAGCCTAGTCTGGTTGAAAACTACTTGCGCCTACTCTGCTCCTTCCAGTAGACCGAACGCAAGTAAAATCTACCGACCCAAACAAGCACCCTCGAAACTCATCCTTAATAGCGTAAAGCACTCACGAATCTCATGTTCTACTGAAACAGCTTGTGGACTGCCCAAATCCCTAGACTACCATAAATAACCAGCTAAAAACTTCTCTTTGTTAAAACCCACCAGCCTGCTGCACCTTACTGCATTTGCACATTAACTAACTTCTTAACCATATCAACCAAATATTAAAAATTCGCTGAAAGGAACATGTCCATGTTCCCAAACAAACCACATTATCCAAAAATTCAATAAATTTCTAAATCTCAACAACACATAAACTAAATTAGCTATTTAATTACTTGATTAAACAGCAAGGTTATGTGAAAATGCTCTAACTGACCTACATAGTCGCCCATGAAGAGGTAATTGGTATCGGGGGCGTTGCCGCCGATCCGAAAGAGCTCGACGAGGTCGTGGAACTGGCCATGGATGTCTCCGCAAACCGTGACGGGGCACTTCACCGGCTGCACGTTCCACTCCTCGACCAAGATCGTCCTCGCCTGCTCGCACAGCGTCTTCACCTCCGCCTCCGGCAGAGGCTTGCACTGCATCAGGTGCTCAATCTGACGGTCCAGATCGGCGAGCGGTGGCATCGTCGCGGATTTTGTTCGGTGCTCGTTGATTGGTGCACGGTCTGAGCTGAACTCGCCGCGAATGGAAGGGTATCTAGGTCATATCGCCGGATCGCGGTGGTGGAAATTAGGGTTAGGGTTTGAGGGAGAGAGAGGGGGGATTTGGGGATTGGGTGCTGAAGCTCAATTTTTGTTGCTGGTGACTGGTGCGTACATTGTGTCAGAGATTCACAGTTGGGAGCTTCCCAGTGGCGGTCCCTATGGTTTCGTGTATTTACGTAGTTGTCTTCTATTTTTTGGGGTTTTTGGATTAAGGCCAACGCTGTAGCCATTAATTCCAGATGTACCGTTTACATATTTCATTTTGTTAGCCCTCCAAAGTGGAAGAGATTTTCAATGTGTCGGAATACGGAATGGAACATTACGTGCCTATACAAGTGGTGAGATACTTGTTAAAAAATTAAAAACTTAAAAAATAAAACTTCTTACCACTTAAATGATAACACATGGTGAGCACCCGTATTATGAGTACAATGAAATTTTTTTCCCAAAGCAGTCTCAAACAAGTGTACCCTGAAGACAGATGTCTCTTGATTATTAGTTACTGTGTAATCAATGCCACATCAGCCTAAGTTGTTATAATGTTTGTTAGGTGGTTAAATGATTTGTTAGTTGGTTAATTAGTTACTTGTGGTTAAGTAAGCTTGTATTGTTTAGTATATAATGCACTTCCACTTACAAATGTAGAAAGTTGTCATTTTCCTCAAATATATAAAATTTTCTCTCTCTCTAAACTCTCTGTGTTCTTCCTTTTACTCATCCTTTGTTCTTGATTTTCCCTTCAATTCTCAAACACTACAATGTAGTTAACATACCCATGGTTAGCTCTTGTCACCACTTCTCCAGGTGTCAAAGGTTTATTGGACGTATGGTGCATTTTTTGAACATGCGGCAAGCATGTATTAAACGAATGTCATTGGGATTGTATTTTAGTTTGCAAGAGAGAATTTCTTCTTTTCGTAATATATGATACTTGTGAAAAACATGCTGATGCGAAAAATAAATAGTATACATCGAAGGATATAATGCACTCATGACATATGATTTTTTCGGAATTGGATCTTCGCTGGATCTAATTCATGGGGATCCTAGGGATCAACCACGTGGGCCGTTGATAAAAAATCATGCGGTCACAATTAAATGTTTTAAAAGTAAAACAGTCTCGTTTTGCGTGAAAAATATAAAAAAGAAAAAAATTGTAGCCGCACGATTTTGATCAACGGTTCACGTAGGTTGATCCCTAGGATCCCCATGAATTAGATCCCGCGAGGATCTAATTGATGTGTAAAATAAGTTAACACACAAAATTAAACCCTCTTTTTGACAATTGTAGTATAGATGTAAGTAGGGTATCGTTCTAGGCCGGGGATTAGGAGGGATTGCTAATCTATTCTAAATTAATTTAAAAATATTAAATAAGACTCAAGGACACAAAATTAGGCTAAAAACTCTAATAACTCGAAACACACTTAAAATGACTCAAAATAATGAAAACAATTAAATTAAACACTAGGAACTGAAATGGACGGAAATTAAATTAAAAGACTAACAATAAAGAAAACTAACTAAATAATATAATTTAATAATGGATGGGTGTTTGGTTTTGATGAAAAGTAAATTAAACTTAATTAAATTACAGAATTGACAAAAACATGAAATTAAGGTAAAATGATAAATGACGGACTAGCTAGAGGGTTATTCTCCACACATGACACATATGCAACTTAAATTGATTTTCAGTTGTTCTTTCAATAAATTGTGAATCTCAATACTCCAGATTAACCGTGAACAGCACTTTTTTATCTTCAAGTTTTCCTTAAGTTATTGAATTGGACGGAAAAACGCATACAACAATTCAAAACATTCTTCAAAAGTCCCCTACGTGAAAAGCACAATAGAGATACAATCAAAGATCATTAAACTTTGTGAAATAAGCATTGACGAGGCA